CTAAACAACACATTGATTTAGCAGTCTCATTTCGGACCAATTGCATCGTGACGATTTGGGATATTCTCACCAGCCAGGCTCGATCTGCGAGGGGTCATATTCCTTCTCCTTGTAATCGACCCATCTTGTCCGGACTGTCAAGATTATTTAACAGCAATCCATTGATAACTTGCTCGCATCACTCACGAGGGAGCTCCTCCTCCATGTTTTCGTAGTACTTATTGCCGTAGCGGTCGGTAGCGATCAATGTGCCGGCTTTGGTATCACCTATAAATCGTGGTTGCGTTAGTCACTTCTCGCGGCCGATAACTGCGGGTAAGGCATACCGATGTACTGTCATGAAGTGCAGCCGAAGAGGCAAGAGAGTAAGTTATCATCCGAACAAAACACCTCGTCCGATCAGGGACTCCCTCCATCGCGTGCTCGGATACCGTACCTGCATCTGGTGTCCATATTCCTGTACAGGGTTAAAGAGATTAGCATAGAGGTTCCGAGGCTCCGAATCTGATCCAAAGACCAACCTTGAGTCCAATCCTCCTCAGATTCCGCAATGTACGAAGTATGGTCGACATCTTGAGTGATATACAGCGATTGAGCTGGTCGGCAGTCTGCAAAGCTGAGGTTCGAGATAGGGAAGCGGGCAGCCCGTCACGACGGAGGTGAAAGGATCTCCCGATGCGGTCTAGTGTCGAGTCTGTTTGCACTGTTTGCTCTCTAGCATCGAAGTGCCGAAGATGTGTCTAATCACGATTCCATCTTTGTGAACAAGCCGGTCTCAATGGAGTCGTGGTATTGATCTTGCAGCCTCTTGTCGGTCGGGTAGACAGGAAGATCTGGGTAAGATGTTTCAACGTATCGGAGGCAATGCTCTGCGCTGCGCCGGGCGCAGGCCGATTGTTCGGAGAAGGCTTTATGACCGCAAATTCTCCGCCTATACAACCAACGCCAGCACGGTTGCGCCCTCATCAGCCTCTCCTTTGGGTACAATCACTGTTGAATTGGATCGAGTGGCGCCTCGGTTTGAAGTTCCAGCTTCCAAAGTTACTATTCTAGATTCCCCTGCAAGTTTCTATGCCACTCTCAAGGTAAGCAGGAATGGGGCAATCAATGAAGACCACTGCCTTTTGTTAACTGCTTGGAATACAGGATAAGATACGGAATGCCAAAAAGCGCATCTATCTCTCTACTTTATACATAGGCAAAGCGGAACATGAGCTTATCGAAACCATAAACCAGGCGCTTCGCGATAATCCCGAGCTCAAAGTATCCATCCTCACCGATGCCTTACGAGGGACTCGCGAGACTCCAAACGCTTCTTGTGCTTCTCTCCTGGCATCTCTGGTTGTTGAACATGGACCGGATAGGGTTGATATTCGGATGTTCCACACCCCAAATCTGACGGGACTGAGAAAGAGATGGATTCCTCGGAGGATCAACGAGGGCTGGGGCCTTCAGCACATGAAGCTGTATGGCTTTGATGATGAGATTATTCTTTCCGGGTACGAGAATATGAGACACAGATGCATAACGATGAGCTGACGGTGAATTCTACAGAGCGAACCTCTCAGAAGATTATTTCACCAATCGTTTGGATAGGTACCATGTCTTCCAGGACAAAGAGCTGGCCGATTATTATGCGGGCTTACATGACGCCGTGTGCAGCCTCAGCTTTCAAGTTCTACCGGATCCACATAATGCTTCAGGATACCTCCTGGATTGGCCGACATCCAACGGCGCCCCTTGTCCCTTGGATGACCCAGAAGAATTCATTTCCTATTCAACAACTGTTTTGCACCCCCTCATCCAGCCTCCCTCTAAAACCAAGCCTGCGGCTGAATGGAGTTCGTCGAGTCAAACACTCGTATACCCTGTGGCTCAGTTCACTCCGCTATTGAAGCCTGATTCTTCTACTGAGTTCCCCGCGGTTACAGCTATTTTACGCCTTCTTTCTACTTCTCCTGTCTTCTCCGGTGCCCGCTGGCTTTTCACCGCTGGCTACTTCAACATACATCCCGTCCTTTCCTCTCTCCTCATAGCAAGCACATCGACGTCTCACACCGCCTCGACCACCCGAGGTACCGTGCTTACCGCTTCCCCATGGGCCAATGGATTCTATGGCTCTCCAGGAGTTTCTGGCATGCTCCCTGCCGCCTATACACATCTTTCAGCCAAGTTTTTGGACAGAGTTGCAGAGGCGCAGCGCACAAACTCCATCCAGCTCAAAGAATGGCGACGTGGGACCGTTGGGGAACCAGGGGGTTGGACTTATCACGCCAAGGGGTTGTGGATAACCCTGCCAAAGGAAGAACACCCGAGCATGACATTTGTCGGAAGCAGCAACTACACAAAGCGCAGCTACAGCCTGGACTTGGAAGTCGGTGCCCTGGTCGTGACCAATGACCATGAACTGAAACGGAAATTGGGGGCTGAGACCGATTGGTTGCAGAAAGATTCGCAAGCCATCTCGCGCGAGGATCTACGGCGGACCGAAAGAAGAGTCTCTTGGAAGGTGCGATTGGCGATGTGGATCGTTGAAAAGGTTGGGGGTGCTCTATGATTTGCGTCCTCCTGGAGAGGATCATTCTGCGCCTGAGCAGAGTTGTGATGTGTATCTTGGAATGCATGAATCCATATACCCATGTATTATATAGCCACTTGTATATTTAGGTAGAGTAGAAGAAAGAACCTCCAATTGGCAGACCTGTACAGAAAATCATAACCCTTGGTTGCGGTGAACTTTCAACTACTGCCTCTAATATGGACATATATTAGATGCAGAGAAAACGCATTACACTTCATTCATGAAATAACATGTGGATATGGTCTAAAAATGAACCCGAAACGCCCAATGCCAAAGCTTTTAGCTGGAGAAAATGAAGATGCATCGTCGCAGTTCGTTGAAGGAAAATTATGCCCGGCCAGAAACCTTTCCTGGCACTCTAGCGGGCCCGAGACCCTGTCGGATCTCCTCCAACATCTTGATTCCAATGGCCTCGTTGCCGTTCTTGCCTCTCTTAGCCTTGGCGCCCTTGCGCTTCGCCTGGGCGCTCGTCTTATCATCCCACCCGGCAAGGAAGTCGTCCATAACCTCATTGAAGTTGTGTCGCGGGGCTACCTCGCGCCCGTTGGCATCAATGAGGCTGGGCGCTTGCGATGAAGCGGTGGAGATGCCGGTCATGCCGGTCATACCAGTCATGCCAGTCATACCACTGACCATGGACATGTTATCGTCGTACTCCTCGCCTTCCTCGTCGAGGGCATAGAGCGCCTCTATCCTGTCGAATCGGTCGTCAAGAAGCCGGTGGCCTTCTGTACGGGCGAGAGCAGACGACGTCATGGAATACGCGGAGGGGTTGGTGAGTGCACCCTTGCGCTTCTTTCTGCGAATCGGCGTGCCTCCGACGGTGAAGATGGTGGAAGCGAGAGTGCTGCGCTGCTCTGAAGGGACGACACTTGGCGGCGCTACTGGCGCGGCTTTCACTTTGGCTTCCTTCTTGAACTTGGCGAACTCGCGCATCCATCCCTGGTCCTCGGGGTCCATGTCTGGAGCGGGTGCGTCGTGGCTTGGCAGTTCTCCAGGCTCCTGATCCTCTGATTTTGGAGGGAGAGGAACACCGCCGTGGTCCGCTTTAGCCTCGGTAGTGTTCATCTGCACGGGTGCTTTTTCTGTTGCATCAGACTCCCAGCCGTCGTCTTCGTCTTCTTCGTCAAACAGTGTGTCCTCCCACTCGCCTGGATCCAGCTCCTCCGCATGGTTGGTCAACTTGCCAAAGACATCCTCCTCATCATCCGGATCGACATATTCTTCGTCCTCAAGCGCCTCGAGCACTTCACGAAGACGGGGATCCATGTCAGGCTGGAAACCTGCAATCGCATCGGGGACATTTTGTTGGTCCTGGTATGTCGGTTTGCGAGAGTATGATGAAGTGGTTGAGCGCAGGTCCGAGGTGTATTCAGATCCGTAGACACTGCCCGCGCCAAACTCGCTCCTCGTATCATCCAGAGACATTTGTTGCTTCAGAGCATCTTCCAGCTTCATCCCCTTAGCCTTACTTTTTCCCTTGCTCGTAGCCTCCACAAAGTACGACTCGCCGCCACCTGTCCCCAGCTCTCGCAGATGCTGCATGTAGTCATATTTTGTGTCATCAAAGTAGATGCCATAGTTCGCAGCTTCACCCTCATTGTGCCGAACGGAGTCTGATCCGAATTCGCTGCTCAGATCTGAAAGATTTTTGCTGCGCTTCTTGCCTTCTGAGATTGGAAGCGACGGCCCAGATACAGGATGCAGGACACGATCGTCGGCGTCGGGGTCGTGTATCAGAGGATCATTCTGAGACCGGTGAAAGAGCTGGTATGTGGTGGCATTTTTCTTATCACTGTGCGCTAGAATTAGTCTCGTAGCCGGCCAGCATCATGGAATGGATCCGTCAACGTACATCCACTGTTTGCGAGGAGGCATCTTGTAGGTCTGATTATTATCGAAGCCGTAAAATCTTGACCGTCTAATCTGCTCTGTTCTCTCTCTTTCCAAGTCTCTCGGAGATCAAAAATCAAAATTTCGCGATAGTGGGATGTTATCGAGTCACGTGTTCTCTTATCAGCAGGTTCATGCCTTGGGCAGAAACATCGCTGTCACCAACTACGCTTTCAAGTCTGCGGAGTCAGAGGTTACTTGGGAAGTGTGAGAGGGTATTAGGTTGAGCAAGAGACATTCTAGTCCTGAATTTCCCTTTTTCGCAGCAATTGTTCTTGTTTGTCCCAACAGTCCTCGATGCTGGATGACTCAGCACCTTATCTTATCCGCGCGGGGCTTTTCTTTTCTCTCTGGAAATCTTCAACCATCATTAATAATACCACTTTCAGTCTCTTTTTGTTTGCCTCCGAGCATTAACACTTCCTTTCGTTCCCTCTGGATACTACCTCTCTCTATTCCTACAAGGGAAAGAATTTTATTTCAATAGTGGTGGAAGTCAGCGGATTGAGCTGCACACATCGCCACCATGGTTCTCGCAAAATCCAAAAATTCCGTCGGGTTGGGAAACACCCTCATGAAGGATCGGTTCGGCAAGGGCAAAGCATCAAACCAGAAGAAAGTATCGCATAATTCTGCTATTACTCGTACCGCGCAGGATGGCAGTACTTATATTACCAATGCTGCCAAAGAAGCATCGTGGATGAAGATGCGCAGTATCACGGAGCAGGCCGCCCTCGATGAATTTCTCAGCACTGCCGAGCTGGCGGGCACCGACTTTACTGCGGAGAAGATGAGCAATATCAAGATCATTCACTCGGATCAAAAGAACCCTTACCTTCTTTCCGCGTCAGAGGAGAAGTCGGCTAGGAAGAAGCATCAAGAGAATAAGGGGAAGTTGACCGTGCCGAGAAGACCGAAATGGGATGCTACGACGACCAGGGATCAGCTGGAGACGATGGAAAGGGAAAGTTTCCTGGAGTGGCGAAGAGGACTGGCGCAGCTTCAGGAGAACAACGATCTTCTGATGACACCCTTTGAGCGGAACTTGGAGGTCTGGCGCCAGCTGTGGCGTGTCATTGAACGTTCGGACGTGGTTGTACAGATTGTCGATGCTCGGAATCCATTGATGTTTCGTTCGGAGGATCTCGAAAACTATGTGAAGGAGATCGACCCCAAGAAGCAGAACCTTTTGCTTGTCAACAAGGCGGATATGCTCACTGAGAAACAACGAGAGATGTGGGCTGATTATTTTGAGCGCAACAATATCAACTTTCGATTTTTCTCGGCTCATCTCGCCAAGGAGCGGAACGAGGCCCGGCTTCTGGAAGAAGAATCAGGCAGTGAGAGTGAGGAAGAGGACGCTGAGGAGCTCACCAATGCGACAAGCTCGATGAACATCAATGATCAACAAGATGCCAAGGATGCATCGGTTGAAGGAGATGGTCAAACTGAGCACGATGGAGGACTCAAGCTATCTCGGAGGACGAATATTCTCGATGTGGACGAGCTGGAAGACCTTTTCCTGTCCAACACTCCGGACACACTTCCGGATAGTGACAATGGCGAGGGACAGCGCAAGCAGAAGACAACAATCGGTCTGGTTGGTTACCCCAACGTCGGCAAGTCCAGTACCATCAACGCCCTCCTCGGAGCAAAGAAGGTATCTGTCTCCGCTACACCTGGAAAGACGAAGCACTTCCAGACACTCTACCTGTCACCGGAGATCATGCTCTGCGACTGCCCCGGTTTGGTCTTCCCCAACTTTGCAACAACCAAGGCAGAACTGGTGGTGAACGGTGTCCTTCCCATCGACCAGCAGCGCGAGTTCACTGGTCCAGCTGGCCTGGTCGCACACCGTATCCCCAAGCACTTCCTGGAGGATGTCTACGGCGTGAAAATCCACACTCGGCCGCTGGAAGAAGGCGGCACGGGCATCCCCAACGCCCACGATCTTCTGCGAGCTTACGCCAAAGCTCGTGGTTTCGCTACTACCGGCCAAGGTCAGCCTGACGAGTCGCGCGCGGCCCGCTACGTACTGAAGGACTACGTCAATGGCAAACTCCTCTTCTGCCACCCTCCCCCCGTCCCAGACGGTGAAGAGCCCATCGACCCGCTCGAGTACAACCGCGAGCTGTATGACACCGCCCACCTCCCGGCTCGCCGACAGGCAATGCTCGCAAGAACCGCGCAGGCCAACGCAGGCGGCGAGGAATTCGACGACGATGCAGAGCTTTTGTCACTGGGCTCATCCTCCAAACAAGGCAAGGCTGTCGAGGGGTCGCGGTCGCGGAATCTCGACACGGGTTTCTTCGGCTTCGGCGCGAAGGGCTCAGCCGGACGGCTCACCCTGCCCTTCAACGCCCAATACACCGAGCAAGGTCAGCAAATCCGCAAACAGCTGACCGGCCGCAAGGAGAGACTGATGGTTGCGCTGGAACGAGGAGTAGACGTGTCGGAGGTGCGCGGCAACTCGAAGAAGCACTTCAAGGCCAACAAGAAGAGGGCCAAGGCGAAGCGCACGAAAGCGGAAGATGACGACTACTGAAGAGGCTATGACAACTCGCTGGCGAGTGATGCATTTGCTGTGATTGTTCGGTTTCTGTCTCATGTCTCTGGTGGGTAGGCGGGGGGATACCATGGGATGAATGATTTTATACCTTAGATGAATTGCATCATCTAGCGAAAAGTAGTAACACGATTTGACTTTAGATACCGGAGTTAGATTCTATTCACTTATTCCCGTTCGCAACGATGGTGCACCTTTGTAGTTGTAGTACTGATATTTGGTATATAAAGGGAGACATCCTTATTGTCCATGCATACTATTTTGTCCGATTATTTTATATTCAAGCCCGCCAGGTCCTCACAGATGACTCTTGGGCTTCTGGAATCCACTAGCCAACAGCAATCGCTCCGCCTCCTCCTTCTGGTACTTCAGCTTGGCGACAATGGCGTCCTGGCGCGACTTGTTCTCGCGTCTTCCAAGCTGCTGCAAGTGGACCTCATCGGGACCGTCAGCGATGCGCAGCGTCCGGATCATGGCCCACAGGTTGGCCAGGGGCGTATCCTGGCAGACACCGGCGGCGCCGTAGGCCTGCACGGCGCGGTCGATGACGGTCAGGGCGGTCTGGGGGACGAGGACCTTGGCCTGGGCGATCTCCATGAGGGCGGACTTGGCGTCGCCCTGGTCGATCTTGATGGCGGCGTTGAGGACGATGAGGCGGGCGGCGTCGATCTCGATGCGGGACTTGGCGATCCACTCGAGGATGACGCCGTGGGCGGACAGCGGCTTGCCGAAGGTCTTCTTGCGGTCATCGTTGACGCGGGCGATGAGCCACTCGAGAGCCTTTTCGGCGGCGCCGATGGTGCGCATCGCGTGGTGGATGCGGCCGGGGCCCAGGCGGCCCTGGATGATCTCGAAGCCGCGGCCCTCGCCAAGGACCATGTTCGAGACGGGCACGCGCACGTTGTTGAAGGAGATGTGGCCGTGGCCGTGCGGGGCGTCGTCGTAGCCGTATACGGTCAGCATCCGGTGCACGGTGATGCCGGGAAGGCCGGCCGGCACGAGGATGACAGACTGCTGGCGGTAGGGGTCTGGGTTGGTCGGGTCGGACTTGCCCATGACCAGGTAGATCGCGCAACGGGGGTCACCAGCGCCGGACGACCACCATTTCTATTCAGAATGGTCAGTATGCAAGTGTCGTAGAGGCGAGTGAACGTCTACATACTGATCCGTTGAGAACGTACTCATTGCCTTCGCGCCGGATGTTCAGTTCAATATTTGTGGCATCACTCGAGGCTACATCAGGCTCGGTCATGAGGAAGGCAGAGCGGATCTTGCCCTCGAGCAGTGGGGCAAGCCACTGCTTCTTCTGCGCCTCATTGCCATACTTGGCCAGCACCTCCATGTTACCGGTATCAGGAGCAGAGTTATTCGTCGCCTGAAAAGTCACCCGTCAGCACCCCAATTGTCACTCTTTGCGATTATCCGACTAGAATCACCTACCTCAGAAGCAAGCTTGCTCTTGCCGAGATACTCAGCCATCAGACCATACTCAAGGTTACTGAACCCAGCACCCTGGGAAAAGTGGTTCTTGGGCAGGAACATGTTCCACAGGCCCAGCTTCCGGGCCTTGGCCTTGAGCTCTTCTAGCACAGCCGGGGTAGTCTGCCATCTCTTCTCGCCTTCGCCCAGCTGGGCCTGAAATACAGCATCGGCGGGGATGCAGTCTTTCTCGACGAATTCTTCAACCTGAATGCCGAGGGAAGTAATTAGCATAGAGGTATCCAGGGTAGAAGGAGAAGAGTCAAACGTACCAGGTCGAGGACCTTCTTTGCCCGATCGCTCACAAAGGGCTGAGCGATGGGGGGAATTCTTGTGGAGGCGGGCATGTTGTGTATGTGGTGGATCAACGGAAAAAGAAGGGAACCTAGCAATCTGCTGTGGACTAGGAAATATAAATCCGAACACAATAAGCAGGGGAAATAGACGATTATAAAGTTGACCAAGAGTGTGAAACTGCCAGGATCATACGAGGGTCGAGATGGAGGGAGCTGATTGCGGAGTACTCGCAGTTTGCGGAGAAGCAGCCGAGCACTGGTTTTGAACCTCGGCTGACCCGCTGTTCTCACCGTCTGGGGGCTGCAGAGTCAGACAACAATGGTGCGACGAGGGAGACGGAAGCCAAAACGTAACGATGAACTGAAAGACTATTTGACAACCGATAGCTGATTAGATATTACGATACCAAGAGGTTGCAGCATGGATGGTGATCCGAGGTTCGATCGGTTTACCGAACATTTCCAGAGAGACGAATCCATAACCGACACCGACCATCAGTATCAAAGACAGCGACATCATTTCATTATTTTTCCAGGCTATCATTATGGATCATCGATACACAAATAAAAGACCAAAACAGAGACAAGTCCATTCCCAATTCCTCTAGTTATCCCACATAATCTCCGTATGAACCCCAGACCAGAAAAACCAAGCAACCCAGAAACCCAAAGACAACAGTGTTAGCCTTACAATGTCAACCAATCGTAATCACACAGGCACTGCCCATGGATACCGAAAGATGGTAGACGCACGAAGCAGAGGACTCGAGACCGAGGCAGTCATGCTATGAATGCTCCCCTTCCCCTCCAACGATGCGACCAGCGCACGAACACGGGGGAAAGGTTAAATATGCAACAGCTTGCCCTCTGCTCCGCATACTATCGGGTGATTGACCATGTCTAGGCCGTGCTGTCATCTCCAAGGTTCTTGTTGTTATGTTCCGCCGTGCTCTGCTCAAAGTTCTTCTTGCCCAGCTTGGCGAAGAGCGACTGAGGCTTTCCAGCACTGCACGCATGTCTGTTAGCATTATCTTCAAAGGATAATCAAGAATATCCAGACTCAAGCGAGTGACATACTTCTTGAACCGCTTCCCCTTAAGATCGCTCAGCTTCTTCGAGCAGGGACTCATGATATCATCCGATGGAGAAACATAGCTCGCTTGGTTTCTGCCCGCAAATTCTAGTCAGACATGTCCTTCTAATCTCCCTTTCAACTGAATAAAAATGCACAATTCATGACGACAGCAGAGTTTTCTGCCCGTCGCATCCCTCCAGAGTAATCTGATCTCAAGCACCTGGGAAAAACTCACTTATCTTCGTTCTGCAGTTTACCCTGCAAGACCGACCGGTGGTACTCCATCGAGTCCAGATTCGCCGACGCGGACTTGAGATCGTTCACTTTGTCCTGGTTTGCAGCGAGGTGGGTGTTGGTTGACCGGTCGGCCAGAGGGGCGGTGGGTGTGGAGTCCATTGTATACAAAAGTGTGGATTTCTCAGGTGCGCTTTCAGCGTTCTTGTTTGTGATCTCAGAAGCTTTTAGCAGGAGATTATAAAGCTGTCCTGGGTGTAGATTGTGAAGATGATTGCAATGGCAGGGAAATATGTAGAATGAATGAATAACCTTGGATGGAAGAAGCGATGGATAAGCAGAGAAAGAAAAACCGCGTCGATTGTTGTCATGGCAACTACATCTGCCGCTGGGAACTCCTGCGCTGCTATGCTTGACATCATACGCTCAGAAACGAGTTAGACTGGACGAGAAGAATTAAATAATAATTAAATATCGATATGTCAGGCAGGTCATCGTCTGTCATTCAAATCATAATCATAGTGGTATCTAACCATACATATAAATATAGACACAATAATATCGAGTACAAGTGTACAACCCGCCATGTCCTATACATCACTCCTGAACGTAAACAGATAAAACAAAAATATAATAGTCATCCACTGCTTCATCTGTTGTTTTGCAGCAGATTGTACAGAGTACTCTTGTAGAATAAAGATAGTAGAGGAGACATATGAGGACAGAGTGTTCCCCAGTCAACGCCCTTGGTCGATTCCGCGCAAGGCCTGGTGACAAAGAACTGGGTTAGCGTTCAGCTGAACCCGAGAACTCAGCTTGTAAGCCAGCGCCTCACGAATCCAGCGCCTCAGGAATGGAGAAAATTAGCATTCCAGACCGCCGAAATCTGCAACAAAGAGAGTTTATGACTCAGTACCCGCCCCATTGCCCTAGAGACAGCCGTTCGTCCTGCGGACCTGGCTCCCCTTATGACGCTAGAGGTCTTGTCGAGCATCCCCGAGCCGTGTCGCTTCCCCAATAAGTGGGTGGTTCAGCTCACGCCTCCATGGATCCAGATGCCTCTGAATCCTCGTCGTCGCTGTCTTCGCCACTTTTCAAGACGGGAGGGCTGCTTTGCGACCGGAACTGAGGAGGTTCAATATCTGGCAATTCAAGATCGCCGGGGGATGGCGATGATTCTCGTTTCTCTATCGACTCCAATGATACCGATGTCTCTGAGGTTGGTGTTGGCGGCGAGTATGCGATGGTGGGGCTCGGCGCACTGTCATGCGTGTCGTCTGTAATATTCCTTCTGTGTCCACCACGATATGAGGACGTCGGCCTGGTAGAGCTGGGACTCATGGAGGGCGAGCTAAATGGTGGAGACGACGATCGTAAACTGTAGGATCGAGAGACCATGTTTTGCACGCTAGGGAACTCCATATAGCTGCTCACTGCACCCCGAGAAAACAAGACCAAGCCAAAGCAGAAGAGGACCATGATGCTTTGAATCACAGCGATCCGCTTCTGAAAGACAAGTTCATCTGCCAGGACACCCAGCTGCGCACTCAAGGAGTATATCTCCTGGTGATATTGAATGCGCTGGGTTTCAAACTCCAACGCAACCGTCTTCCAAACCTGATCATACTGTTCGCGGAACTGTCTCAGTTCATTCAAAACCGTCACGTTCAGATTTTCCAGAAAGGTAGAGGTTTTCGACAGCTGGCGCTTCTCGACTTTGCTAAAAGCATCGCGCAGAATACGCGACTGCTCCTCAATGTACAGAAGAGACAATGTCGAGTTTGACTCCAGCATTTGCAGCCGCTTGTTGACAGATTTGAAGAACGACTCTTGCGTGGTCGGGTTAGGTGATGGTGGTTGAGTTGCAGAAAATTTGGTTGAGTCTACTGGAGGAACTTGTTCTTCCTGGGATGAGGCTGTAGATTTCTGTTCTGCTTCCGACGTGGTATCGTGCTGCACAGGCTCAGACATGGTTGCCGTCGAAGCGGGAGAAGGGATGCCGTCAGCTCCGGACTGTCCAGCAGCTCGTCGAGCATCGGGTACGTCCTTGGTACCATTACCTGCACCCGGCACAATAGGCGCAGAGTCCTCGGGTCCCGGTGACGTGGTGTCCCTCGCAGGCGAGTCATGTTGAACAGCTGCGTCAGATCTTTCCTGGCCAGCGGGTCTCGTCGGTGCAGCCTGCGCACTGCATGTCTCGGAATCTACATAATTCGGCAGAAGCCTCTCCAGCCCTTGTGCTGGGCTGGGGCAAGTATCCTGCAGTTCAGCCTGAACTTTCCTGCCCATGCCTTCACGAGTTTTCGCACCAACGTCAGACGGATTTCCGGATGGCTGTGCAATCTCCGCGTCAGTGACGGCATGGTCCGGCTCCAAAGTCTCATCAACAATCTCATCGTCAACCCGACTAGCCTCGCCATCGTGCTTGTATTCCTCCAGCATAGTGGTTCCATGGACGCGTATGAGACTCAGAGGGCAGTAGAACTCGTTTCCGTAGTGTGTCAGAAACTCAATCTTCAGATACCGAGCCCAGATCAACGGATTCTCCACCGCGAATGCTTGAATTTCACGGGTATTCCTGGCTTCAAAAATCCCCAGTTCTCTCCACTGGTCCGGTTTTGCCGGGTATCGATCCGAGACGCTGACCCGGAAGGTGTGAAAGATGGAGCTGAAGAACTCGTAATTCGCAAGAACCACAGTGTCCACCAAGATATCGTCACACAGCTCGAGTATTAGAAACTTATTTTTAGCCCGACACTCATTAAGCATGTAGCTGTCTTTATTTTCGATCAGCACGGAAGACGAGCCCTGACACTCGGGGTTGGTCTTGAGCACCGTAGCAGCGCAGTCAAAGGAGGCGTAATTAAAGCGCTCCTTGCACGTAGTCCCAGCGTCTTTCCTGCGCGAGCTACCTGACCGTATAACCCCAGGAGACGGGGCACTCCCATCTCCACTAGGTCCGCTATCCACCAACCCTGCGCTCTCTCCCACGTGCGCACCCGAGCCAAACGACGGCGGTCGCGCGGCCTCTGGCGCGTCAGCGCCGAACCCACCAAAATCAAGCTCAATCTCCGCGTCTTCTCCCAGCGAATCCAGCGCGTTGCTGATCCCCGTGGGCCGTCGTCGGCTCTCGTTCCCTGCCACGCCACTCCGCCGGTTACCCCCCACATTCTCCGCCGACTGGCCAACCTTTGCTAGATTCTGCTTCTTCCAATCTTCAAAGGAGAGAAACTTGGCGTTGTCGAGGGGCGAATCCGTATCCAGCTCCTGCTCCTGCTCCTGGCCAGGATGTTGTTGTTCAGCCGCAGGGCTGGCGGTTCTGGTCGGCGACGAAATGTCTGAAATAGTAGACACCGTAGCAGAAGGTCCCCCAGTGACGGTAGTGCCTGACCTACTCCAGCGGGTCTCGATGCAGACAGGCCACCGAATAAACTCGGCCTCAGTATCCCGCCAGCCCCTTGCCAGGCATAGTGGTTGTGAGTGCTCCCGTGCCGCTTCTCCAGCCGCAAGCAGGGCGAGCGCGGCCAAATGAACGAGAGATGCGCCCGCACATCGGCCCCAAAGCATCATGCACACGATGCTGCAGAAGGGGAAAAAGGGTATGCTCAAGTCAGAAGCCGTTATCCGCTAAGCTTTCTGCTAGCACGCTTGACCCTACAGTCGCCACTGATAAAGGGATGTCGGAAGAAATTATGAATTAGTCGACTAGATCATATTCGTGGTGTGTACATTGCCGTCTGTATAGTGCCTCATGGCGTTAGCGCTCAGGAGAATAAAGTGAAAGTAAGAAAAAGAAGGCTTATCAGTACATGGGCTTACCGCGTGCATTCGGCCGCGCTTGCTTGGGCCAGTTGTCGCAAAGAATGAAAGAAGATCGAAGAAAGAGGTATGCAATGCAGGTTTCCGAGTACTGCGATCCTGAAAACGATGACCAGTGTTAATTAGACATGTCCGAGTGAAAAAATAAAACTGTGTCCACAATTGCAGCCCGTGCAAAGGATTCCGTCCCTGCATCAGGTCAAGGTGGCTTTCTGCGGGTATCCCCAATCGTCCAACTATCTGTGACCGCCTTTTCCACCCTCGTCACCGCCTCAAGAATGTCATCGCGATGATGGAAGTATAGGTAGGCTAAGGTAACTATGTGCACAGTGGGGGATTCATTTCCTTCTAGCTGAATTACTGGAGTAATCAATGAGAGTAAGAAACGGTTCACGAGAAATTGTTGATTCAGGACTATTTCTTGGGATTATTGTCCACTTCACAGCCTACCTAATCAGCTGTTCCACCTAGCTAGCTACATACAGTACAGTGCATTGGCTCTTCGAAGGAACCAACAATAGACAGAAAGTGGATGAGAACAATAGTCGCTAAGCTTTTGCCTTTTTTCCCGCTTTTTCCTTCAGTCTCGTGCAGAAGATTCGATGAATAGCCGGCGACGAACGTAAACCATCAATCACTCTCGCCATGCATCATCGCTCCTTGCCCCTGTGCCATTGCCAAACCGTCACAAATTGCACCTTTCGATGTTGAAGAGTATGTGAACACATAATGTTGAACTCGAACAGTGCACCCAACCTTCTTGGAATACAATTCCAATGGTTCATTTGCTGATGAGTCACTTTTGAACCGCTCGCCGCCACCGCTTGCATGCTCCAGAGCGAGCTATAATATACAGGAATAAAAAGACAGACATGACCACGCGTTCCAATGCCGCGAACAAGAAATTCTATCTATGAGAGTGCGCTTTGTTTTTCTCAATGAAAATAGGAGAGAGGCGAGTAAAGTGTTGAAGAGAAAATCAAAAAGGAAAGGAAAAAAAAAAGGTGACGTATATAGGTTTTCTCTGCTCTTCCTCCAAAATGGATGAGACGGAACAACGGGACGGAAAGACATTGGACACAAGGGGAGAAGACGACACTGCTGACGATAATGATGGTGATGACGTTAGAGGTGAAGGTCGTGCCAGCCACCCACAAGATCAAGATCTTCGTCAATGCTTCCATCGTAACCGCTGGGAGTGAAAGGTTTGACAGCCTTTGGAGATTCCACGGCATCGCGGCGCTTACTCTTCTCCTGGAACGGGCGGCGGCGACGGTCCTGATGCGCGAGATTATCTTTCTTGGCCCAAGATCCGTAGTCGAATCCGGACGAGCCAAGGCCCCAATCCTTTCGCCAGCTCATGCTGTTTGAAGACTTCGGCTGGCCGAATGATCTTTCCGTAGGTTTGTAATTTCTTCTTCTGTCGCCTAGCGCGGCCCACTTGTCCAGATTCGACTTCTTGGGTGAGCTTTGCGAGAAGCGAGGAGCTGAATTCACAGAAGGAGTACCAACATCGGCGAGAGGTGACTTGGCCGTGATGTCGACGGGCTTGGTGGAAGGCGTCTGTTGCGCAGACGAACGAGCATTGAGAAGCGAGGACGACTTGGGCTCATGAAGCCCAGTCGCGGGAGTAGGAACATCCATGCCGCTGCTCTCATGGCTCCAGCTACGCGAGTTCGCCTCATGCCTCTCTTGGAAGACGACGTCCTCATGTTCGAATTCCTCATCCTCATCCCAAAGGTCGCTCCAGCTCTTGGAAATCTGGTCGCCCTTGTTCCGCCCAAACACCATGGACAGAGAAGGTACTGGTTTGGCTGCATGGCTCGGAAGAGAACCTGTGATTGGCACAGGATCCGAAGGAGGTGGGTACCTAGGGGCAGTCGGGCGGAATGCAGTAGACTTGAAAGATTCACCCAAGGCGGAGTCGAGAACGGATGCCATAGATGGGGTGCCCTGATGAACGGAGAACCAGGAAGTACCAGCCGTTTCCGAGGCAGGGAAGAGGTCTTCGGAGTAGCTCTCGTTGTCGGGGATAGCAGACAGCTGGCGGATGGCTTGTGGCGGGCTGGATTGCAAAGCTTTGGCCCAGGGGAAAGAATCGCCTTGGTGTGCAGATGTGGTTTGGACGGATGGGGTTCGGAGAGGTTCGCGGTTGGCGCTTGCAGGAACAACCTCGCGGTCATCAGTGCAGAAGTCGTCCAATACCTCCTCGTCGGTAGTGAAGGAAACCGCCCGTACGAGGGCATCACGGACACCAGCGAGCGAGCGTTTCTCCGGATCGATGGCCAAGGCAATTCTCAGGATTTCGAAAGTATCCTGGGACATGTTGGTGAAGATGTCGAAGAGAGACTGGCGGTCACGAACGTAATCCGCGAAGAGGATGTCCGATTCCGTGGGGGTTGCAAAGGGATTCCGAGCGAAGAGGACATTCAGCAAGCAGATGCCAATCGCCCAGATATCAGCCTTGGCAGGCGAATAGCCATTAGCACCCGGGTCGTACTGTTCGGGGGCCATGTAGCGGTCGCTTCCAACGCACGCTTCATGACACCAAGCAGCACGAGTTGCCAAACCAAAGTCACCGAGCTTCATCGTACCGTCATGCGTCAAGAAGATGTTCTCCGGTTTGATGTCACGGTGGTACATGCCATTCGAGTGAAGGAACTCAACAGCACTAACCAGCTGCAGCATGAAATCGCGAACATGCTCTGTCTCCAAGGGACCGCGGTTGAGCCGAATTGCTTCATAAAGATCGCCGTTGGCGCAGTACTCCAGAACGAGGTACAAATGGGCCTCCGTCTCGAATGAGTGAATAAGATTCACGATATTCGGATGGTGGGCAAGGCGCTTGTGACAATAGAGCTCTTCAAAACGATCGTCGATCGCAGATGGAGCCCATGGATCATCGGATGGTGCCTTGGTCAAACACTTGATGGCCACATCTTGACCGGTCTTGGTATCTGTAGCGAGAAAGACCATACCAAAGGATCCATGGTTCAAGGGAGCCACGGTCCTAAAACGACCATCCAAGAGCTGGCCTTTGACGAAGTTGTTCTTCAGGCAATCCATGACCGATGATTTGGATAGCACGACGTTCGTTTGAAACAGGGTATGCGGTCCGTTGGGAGAGAGGATCGGTGGCGGTCCGTGAGAGCAGTCTCTTTAGACAAATGAGGAAAGGTCGAAGGCAGTATGAGACTTCTCGGAAGGCCAATACAGAAAGCAAGAGAAAAGCAACCAGGCTATAAAATATGATCAAGAAAAAAAACCAGGTCTGCAATGCCAATAAGACCTTGACCACCGAAGAGGACCAACGAATGAAGGGAACAGAAAAGAATCGAAAGAGATGAAACGCGAAACACCGAATGTCGACTCAGACTTTCATATAAATACCGGAGATGATAACAAAAGGGAAATATGACGGTGGGTGCGGAGCGCGGTTCAGAGTACCCGGGGGG